ATTGGTGAACGCGACATTTTTAAGCATTATTTGTGAATATTATTTATAACCAAAGGGTTGAAATGAACCAAGGGTTAAAATTAAAAGGAAAAAAAGAAAAAAAGAGGGAAACAATTAACCAAGGGTTAAATTAAAAGGAAAAACAGAGAACAAAAATATAATAATGTAAAAACGAATAATAAAAACATAAAACAGTATAAAAATATTATAAACAATACTGTCACTTAATTAATGAAATGTACTACAAAAGTGTTAGCTATTAACTTAGTAAATATTATTACTATTATAATAAATATTGTTATTAGCTATTATTTTAATTAATAACTATATTGATTAATTAAATTATTGATTCATAATTACATTAATTTACATTTTTCAATTAATTTATTAAACAGTTCAGTTAAAACTAAACCTTTCAGAGCTAAACCTGTCCATATTTTAATAAAACAAATAAACAGGAAAATACAGAGATATTAATGACAACTACTGTACTTTTAGAAGATATACAATTATAAGACAATTGTTTATAGAACATATTAAAAACAACATAAACATATTTAATTTTGTAATGTCATTAGCAATTTAATCAACCATCGGTTTAGGAATTTTTTATTCATAAATTTATCACATTTCTCTTTATTTGCATTGATGGTTCCATGAAGAACCTTTAACATCCATAAAGTCTTTTAATTGCAGAAAATGTTCTTAATAGTGGAAAAATGTTCTTTAGATTTTTTCAATATTCTTCACACTAAAAAATGGTTATTTTAAGAACAGTTCACTGAACGGTTCTTTGGAGAACCCAAAATATATATTTTTTTATGACATCACTGGGAAAAATAATAAATCATAATAATAAAAACAAACAAACAAATATATATATATATACATATTTTTAAAGAGTGTAAACCATTTCAAATAATATCCCAAATCAATATTACCTCTAAGACTAAATATATTTTGAGAGTAAATGAATGATCATGATATGTTAAAATCCTTAAAATGCTAATATGGCCTCTCTATTGTTTATGGGCTTTTGCATGTATATGTGTATATGTTTCTGCATGGGAGTGTTGTTTTGGTCTGTCTAGGAGCTCAAGCATCACCTCACTGAAGGCTGCCCCGGCATGCTTGACCTGATGATTAGATTTATTAAAGCGCGTGGGTGAGGTGTGTGTGTGTTTGTGCATGTGTTTATTGTGTGTGTGTGAGCGGATGTTTTAAGGGGGTGTCACTGACGTAAATCCTTAAGGCATAAACTCAGTGCTCGTTATAGGCCAGAGGTTGAGAAGTGAGCTAATTGATTAATTTAAAGTGATAAAATGCATCATTCATTCATTCAATGTGTGACGAAGTGTCAACTTGAAGGCCATGTATCTGTAAAACCTTTTATAGTGTCTCATGGTCCAGATTCTATAGGGAATCTAGGGTATTTGTAGGCCAGGCCTGTTTAACATCAACAGCAAACTATAAATGTGATTCATTGAGACTGGAAATCGGTGTAATTTATTATTTATTACAAGAATTTACATTCTCTGTGAATATAGTAGGCCGAGAATCCCACATACAGCTGAGTTTCATTATACACATGACACTAAAATAATGCAATAATCATTTAACAACATAAGATGTAAGATAAACTAATAATGTACATAACTTTAATTTATTTCAATGAAAAAAATAAAATTCTGGAAATGTCAATTTATGGTTTTTCACTGTAAATTATAAATTGTTTTTTTTTCTTTTAGACTCCCCAAAACTGTACATTTAATAGTATGTTACTGTCAAATTACATAGAACGTCCCATTAGATCTATTACTTTTCCACTGTAAGTGAACTCCAACTGTAATCAGAGTTGTATTAAAAAATGCCCTGGCTCTTCCAAGCTTTATAATGGCAGTGAATGATGGTTGAGATTTTAAAGCAAAATAAAGTGCGTCCATCCATCATAAAAGGTGTCCCACAAGGCTCCGGGGGATTAATAAAGTAAGACCTTGATTAGCTGGTTCAGGTGTGTTTGATTAGTGTAGGAGCTAAACTCTGCAGACCCCTGGCCTACGCCTACGTCATCCGCTGGAACGCCACTTTCTCGTGAGCGCGAGTACAACAGTTAATGGAAGCTAGAGATTACGGTTTATAAAGCTGTAAATATGGATATTTGTCTTACACAAATGCATCGCTTCACTTATTAACCCCCCGGATGTATGTGGAGTACTTTTTATGATGGCTGGACGCACTTTATTGAACTTCAAAATCTCAACACCCATTCACTGCCATTACAAAACTTGAATGAGGAGGACATTTTTTTTTATATAACTCCAACTTTTATTCGCCTGAAAGAAGAAAGTCATATACACCTAGGATGGCTTGAGGGCAGAGTATGTGAGCGGAGTGGAGTGGCAACAATTTCCCCTCCGCACTCCAAGCATTCAGTAATCAATAATCAATAATCACTCCGCTCCGGGTTCACCATTTCCCGCTCCCGTTCCCGCTCCACTCCTCGCTCACCACTCCGTGAAACACCACTGCGCGGCTAAATTATTTCACTATGCTTGAAAAATCCATAATTTGTGCTCGTGACGGAGCGGCAGAGGAGCGTTCTCGGAGTGAGTGAAAACCTCAAAAAATCCGCTCACATACTCTGCTTGAGGGTGAGTAAATAATGGGGTAATTTTTATTTTTGGGTGAACTCTTCCTTTAAGTGGAAACAATAAAATAACTGGAAAAAATAAATAAAAAAAAACAAAAATGTAATTAAAACCAAAACTGAAATAAAACATTAAACCTGAATAGTAATATAGCAAAATATTAAAAATGACTAATGCACATACTGTAACAAAATTACTATATAAATTAAACAAAAATTTAAATAAAAACCAAAATTATATAAAATACTGTAATATATAATAGGGAATAATAGAAAAATGTATTTTAAAACATTAAAATGCATTAAACAATACTATCAATGAATTAAACACAACAAATGTATTAATATATCTATTCAATTATTAAATATTATTACTATTATATTAAGTATTATTATTGATTAATTATTAAATTTATAAAATCTTTCATTTATTAAACAGTTAAGAGCTAAACCTGCATATTACTGTACCTTAATAAATAAAAGCAATTTAGAAAATAATATATAATACACTCTAAAAAATGCTGGGTTAAATACAACCCAGTGCTGGAGAGAGAGAGAGAGAGAGTAGTAGTAATAGTAGATTATATAAATAATACCAAAAAGACAATGTTATGCACTTTACGTTCAGTTAATTGTGGCGTTCATGGGTCTCCGCTCACCTGTGGGAGGGTGTTGTAGTTGTAACGGGTGACACATGGAGCTGAACCCCGCGGGGCGCCACTGGCGTGCGGCGCAACTCATGACGCGTTTGGCGCCTCCAAAGAAAAAGCTCCATTCAGCAGGAGACCGGCTTCAGTTACCACAGAGGAGAGTACACAGTCTAACATTAAAAAGCCTCTAGCCTGTTAATAAGTGAATTACCTGTCGGTGTTGTACCTGAGCGCTGAACCTACTGTTTTTATTCCTCACAAGCTTTTTTTTTTTTTAACCAACTGCGAAGTTTTGTTTCATAAACTTTACCTATAAACTTAAATCAGACATTTAATGAACTTTTCTTGGCTTGAATGGAAATGAAGGCGTCTCCTGCGCTCGTGCTCTGCGCGTCCGTCACCGTTCACCTCGCGCTCGCTCAGATTCAGCTGCGCGTGCGCCCGTCGCCTAGCGACCACCTGCCGGTACCGGACCTGCACGAGGACCCTGACCCGGCGCTGGAGCCGGGCGAGAGGGATTTAGCCCCTCGATTGCTGCGCCGGGAACTCGGCAGCAGTTCTGACCCCGTCTTCTCGTCGATCAGTGCACCGACTCCAGGTAACGGGTCCGAAATCACGCGAGAGGACGGGATCCGTCTCGCCGGAGCGATTCCCCGTGAGTTTCAGCAGCTGGATTTCACTGGTCTCAAAGCGGCGAGGAAAACGGAGCGCAGGGTGCGCCGATGGTTGTGGTCGTACACCCGGTGCCCGGTGCTGTCGGTGTGGAAAGATCTGGGCGCGCGATTCTGGCTGCGATACGTCAAAGAAGGACAGTGCTTGACCGAACGCTCGTGCTCTTTACCGGAGGGGATGTTTTGTAAACCGGTGCAGTGCGTGAGCGTCACGCTCCTCCGGTGGCACTGCCAACAGGGTTCGCGCGCGCTACCCGGTGATTTCACAGTGCGGCTGCGCGTGCTTAAGCTTTACACTCAGCTAGACCAGTGGCTTGGCAAAATATGATTTCTTATTCCTTTCTTTTGATTTTGGGGTGAACTATGAATCGGACTTGTTCTTGTCAGCCACCCATGTAACTCTGAGAAGGAGATTAGTGGACTTTACTAACATAAAGACCAGTGTTGGGGGTAACGCATTACAAGTAATGCGAGTTACGTAATCAGATTACTTTTTTCAAGTAACTAGTAAAGTACACATTTGTGATTGTGCATTCTTTGGCTATATATGATGTTTTGAATTGTATTTATATGTGAAGAAAATATTTGATTGTGTGATGAAGAAAGAAAAAGATAATAAAAGTGCAGATGACTTCACTAAGTTGGGCATTTGTATTGTTTTATATATTATATATAAACGATCACAACTTAAAAGTCAACTTAAGTTTCAACTTAAGAAAGTAAGTGTTTGTGCTTGACCTTATAAGTTGAATTTAGTTTAGATGTTTAAGTTATATCTCAACAAATGTTAAGTTGTTAACTAATCGCAGCAGCATTTTTCGTATTTCAGTACATCATTTAAATAATTTACTTATTATTATATTTCCATTTAAATGCCAAGCATATAAGACAAGTGAAAGTTTATTTGTGAAAACAGTTATATACATGCGGGTGAGGATTGTGTTTACGACATGTTTACTTTCTCACTTCTCCTTTTTTACATTTGATGCTTTTCTCTGTTTCTCCTTCCTTCCGTCTCTTCCGCCGCATCTGTCTTTCTCCTCCTCTCTTTCACTGTCAATTCTGGTTTGCCCATCTTTGCGTGTACATCAAGGTCTTCTTTCTGATGCTTCAAGATGAACAAAACAAGTGAGACCATTACTAAAGGTAAAGACAGGAGTTAGTAAAGTGCTGATATTTATCTGGGAAACAGTTAATATAATGTTTGAAAAGAAAAAAGGGGTATCTTTCACAGTAGTTAATACAGACCTAGAATCATGCATACACTCTAAAAAATGCTGGGTTAAATACAACCCAGTGCTGGGTAAAATAGGGACAAACCCAGCAATTGGGTTATTTTGAACCAGCGGTTGGGTTACTACCCAGAAGGTTGGGTTAAACATTTATTCAAACCGCTGGGTCAAAACAGCCCAATTGCTGGGTTTGTCCCTATTTTACCCAGCACTGGGTTGTATTTAACCCAGCATTTTTTAGAGTGTATAATATACAGATTGTGTGTATTGAAGTAAGAGTTTCTTGTAATTGTGGGAGCAAATTTTTAAACATTAACCTACAACTTATTTAGCCATGGAATACATTTAATTGGATACATTGTTGTTTTTGGTCTCTATTAATTGCCATGCAGTTTTTCCACACACTGCACTTCAAATTAAGGAGTAAAGTATCATTGTTGGTGCTTGGGTGCATGTTTGCTGGTTAAGGCCTTAGCAGTGAAAACATCACTTAAGAGAAAATACAGTTGCAAATATTTGTTTCTGGGTAGTGTGTTAAAGAAAGGAAACGTGTGGCAGCTGCTGAGAAAACTACACGCAGTCCCTCCCTTGGGATCTGTCTGTGAGTGTGTATGAAAAGAAACAGTAAGACTGAAAGTGTGAGGCTGTCACATGACGCAAATCTAGAAGATGATGCTGTTTTTCAAAAGAAATTTGTCAAACCAAGTGACAAATCCACAACTGCACAAACGTCATACATTAGAATTTCTTCCTTATAATTGCACTAATAATACAGAACAATGTTTAGATTATTAGTCTAAAAAAAAAGTTGAAATCTGTGGGGGGGGGTTTTTTCTATTTTGATTCAAATTTTTAAATCACAGAATTAACAGAAATGAGTTATGGCAACATTTCTAATTTTTTTCTATTACTTTACGTTAATCAAAATAATTTTAACAACTTTAACTTCACTGAAGTTAAACAAGATCCAACTCAATTGATTTAAAGCCAATTTAATATAATTTAAGTTGAAATGACTTGAAAACAACCAATTTGACTGAACTTCAAAATTTAAGGCAGCAACTGATTTTTATTTATTTATTTATTTTTGGCCTAATAGAGACAGTGGCCTGCTGTTTTTAAGAATTGTTTCTAATATTATTTAAATAATATTTTCATGTATTTTAATTGAATTTTATCTTGAACACTTCCAATACAAATTCAGATAGTACACTGAAAAAAATGGGTGTAAGATTGACTATTTTCACTCAGAAATTGCTAGTCAATTTCATAATTACAAAATAAGTATGTTATTTAAATCTGCAATTTTGAAGCAGAATGATTGAAATAATATTTTCTGGTAAAATGTACTCCAGTAATCTTTATTTTATTTACAATTTCAAAAAAATCTTTTCTTACAGTATTTAAAAAATAAAATAAAATTTTCCCTGTAATGTGTATATGGTGTCTTATATTAAGTGTGTTCATTGTTTTTTATAAACCAGCATGATGAATTGAACTTTCAGCTCTAAAGAAAAACAATTAAAACATGTCCACAGGCTTTAACACGACTAAGTTTGACAACGTGTCCCACAGCAAGCCTGATCTCAGACCAGTGAAAACCCCCTCACATAACACAGGTATGTTTGTGTGTAGCTTTACGTCATTATAAATCAGTTGCTGATTCACTTATTCATTTATTTGTGTGTGTTGCATTTAGCATCTCGACCTGATTGGATACTCTACACAGTTCCTGCATCAGCCTTTCTGATTGGGATTGTTCTGTTCACGTATGTCTGCAAAACACAACAACGCAGAAATGGTAAGTGTGAACACACCCAAACATACACACACTGACACAGGAAAATAATCAACACTCCAACTTCATGCTGACTAAATATATATACTTATGGTGGTCAAATGATGAGAGTTGATCTAAAAAAAAAAATGTCTTGCAGCACCTGCAAAGCAGAGGACAAACACAAACGGACACTTTGCCACTTACACCGACTTTGGGTGATGCATTTCCGTTTTCCAACACTTCTTCTTTCTTTTTACTCTCTGCCTCTTTCTTTGTCAAATGATGGGTAAATGTTGCCAAAATGTACATTACTATCAAAAATAGCCAAAGAGATTTTAATCAAATTTGCTGAAAATATACTCACCCTCAGGCCATTCAAGATGTAGATGAGTTTGTTTCTTCATTGGAACAGATTTAGAGAAGTGTATCATTACTTACATTACTTGCTCACCAATGGATGCTCTGCAGTGAATGGGTGCCGTCAGAATGAGAGTCCAAACAGCTGATAAAAACATCACAATAATCCACAAGTAATCCACACCACTCCAGTCCATCAGTTAACGTCTTGTGAAATGAAAACTTGCATGATTGTAATAAACTAATCCATCATTAACATGCTTTATAACCTTAAACCATCGCTGGCCAAAATACCAGTCCATAATCCATAACGCTTCCTCCAGTGAAAAAGTCAATTTCTTGTTGTTCTCTCACATCAAAATCCACTGATATATTACTTTAGAGCTGTTTTGAACTGTTTTCACTTATAAACACTGCTTGATCTGTGAATATTTCTCCCCTGATTCAGACAGGATGACTTTTTCAATGTTTTTATCAGCTGTCTGAACTCTCATTCTGACGGCACCCATTCACTGTGCATGTGATGAAATGCTAAATTTCTCCAAATCTGTTCTGATAAAGAAACAAACATTTTCAGCAAATGTTCATATTTGGGTGAACTATTACTTAATAAATTCAAGCCTAGCCCTTCCTTTTTGTCAACTAAAGAAGATGGTTATTTCATGTATTGAATGTTTGTGCTGTCACAGGTACACTGAGAGCGGTACTCAGAGACATATGGAGACCAATGAAAACAACAAGAAGGGTAAAATACTACTAATCATTTTTATATGCATTATAGTGCTTAGTCAGACAATGTTCAAATCTCAAATCAGTTTTCAACATAGTATTTCTTTATAAAAAAAAAAGGTAACTGACATTACCACAAAAACCTCAAAAAGCAGTCATTAATTATTTGTTTTTTCAACAGATGACACACAGTCCTATGAGAATGTAGAAGCAGCTATCTACAGCAATCAAGACAAAGTCACATATTATGTTTCTGCAGATGAAGGTATTTCCTGACCAACAGTAATTATGAGAGTGGTTTTACTGTGCAATTTAAATGCTTGTTGGTTTTAGATTATCTTAACCCCGATGCAATCGGGGAAGAAGAAGTGGTGGGGCCAGAGGAACATCACAACAACACCCTACAACTGCCTAGCAATTTGACTGATACGGGTGAGGGAGGATATACAATACTTCATACATACAATACTTCATACATACATATACATACCTGTGTATATATATATATAATATTACAAACAGCACACTGTGAAGCTTAGTTGAATTTTAGTTAAAGTTTTTAGTCATTTCTATTATCATTATTTTAAAATATTTATATTTAGGTGACATATATTTTTTACTTAAGTTAAAAACATTTTTTGTTAACTTTTTTATTTTAGTGCTTCAACTGACATTTCTAATTTTCATTTAGTTGAGGTTTTTCCATCTAATATTTATCTTTTTATTTATTGGATTCATTTAAATTGCAAACATGTTTTAATCATTTTAGTTTTTGTTAACAATAATAACCCTGTATTATACAGCTCTAAAGAGGACATTGGCAGAAAATGGTCTGAAATTGTTCATGGCATATTTATTGATTTAGCCGAAATATTTTTTTCCTAATTAATACAACTAAATATAATCACTATACATTCCAAAGCTTTGTCTGCTTATTACAGCTCCTCTATAGATTAAGTTCCTAATGTAGTTTATACTGGAGTCCTGTAGGGAAGGAGTTGGCACAAGTTGTATTCGGGGTCTGATCTGATTTCGGTCTCTTTTTCTCTTCAGATGGAGAGTCGTATGAGAACATGGAGGGGTGTTTATATGCTCAGCCTCGCAAACGGACACAGCAACTCCAGCACGCAGCTGAAGATGAGGGTGAGGGATCAAACACACACCCAGATGGGTGGCAGGGATCTGATATTCTATTCACTTTAATACATAGTAGTCAAATTAATGTGATAAAGTGCGATAATCTCTCTTAAAAATGCCATAGACTATATCAATACTGATGAAGATAGAAAACAAGATCTCGCTCTGGACCAAACAGACACCGGCAAGTGTTTCATTATGTGTTTGTATGCACATGTACAGTTTGGAATAAAACAAACAAACAAAAAATTAGGTATATATATATATATATAATTTCTTTCCTTTCAGAGTCGTATGAAATTATGGTTGGATCAGACTGTCCGTACAACTACACAACCCATGACACCATGGAGGATGGTGAGTGAGTGTGTGTGTATGCATGTATGTGTTAAAGACATGCGTGTCTCTTTACATGTGATTAAGTTTGTGTGTAAATGCTTGTTTCAGATTCATATGAGCAGATGAATGGAATCCCAGTCCTGATCTAGAAAGAAATGGATGGAAGAAGAGAGGGTGAATGAAAGAGATGCAGAGAAATGGACAACTGCAGTGAAATTGCAATTAAAAGAGAGACAAAAGAGAAACATTGAGTTTCTTTTTAAGACTAAAACCTAGCAGCTACAGGATGCGTAATAGTTAATTGTTATTTTTACAAGTAGCCTATGTAAGTATTGAAATCAAAATGGACTGTTTAAATTTTTTTTTTATTAATTTCTGTTATTGGGCATTGTTTATTTCTCTCTCTCACATAACCAAAGGCACACAGACCAAAAACATAATAACTCACATTTCACTATCCAATCAAATCAAAACAAATCCTGTATTCAGTCTCCCAATGAATATTTTACTAGAAATGTCACATGACAGAATTTTAAAAGCTTGCGAATGATATTTCACGTCGTTTGTAGACCTAAAAACAACAGTTTGTAAGTTTTTTTACCTTGAAATATCAGTTTCAAAATCCTTCCGGCTTCTTTTTCTTTCTCTTGCACCCCTTTATTACGTCAAACGCTGTAAGTTTGGTGAGCGCCCTGTTGAAAAAACCAGCATATGCTGGTTAGGTATGTTTTGACGCTGGGATGCTGGTTTAAGCTGGTCCTTTCCATATGCTGTTTTTTTTCAACAGGGCGGGTACGAATTTCCGTGAAAAGTGCGGCCTGCTTTATGGCAGCAACAAATGCACATGATGCACAGCCAGGGATGGTCTGTAATTACGACAGTGGTATATCTGCATCAGCGAATTCCACTTAATTAACTACAGGGGGCTCAAAAGTCGCAAAAATACACAAAACTACCCACAGTTGCTTTTCAGATGATCTGTTCAAACTGCTTTTAGCTGGTGCGATCTGGTTGGAGACAAATGTATTGCGAAAAAAATTTATATTGTATTTGGAGATAAACTGATAAACATAACAAAAATGTCAAGAAACGTCCTGGTCATATCTTACTTAAAAATGTAAATGAATAATTTCAATGAATTTCTAAATAATGAATAGAGTTATTTGAATAGTAAAATATGAAATTACATCACAGTAATCATTTTTTTATGCAGTTTTGTTTGTTTGAAGTCTTGATTTTAAGATATCACCAAGACGTTTCTTTGTGAAAGTCACCAACTGGGTTACAATTGTAAAGAGCTTCCTGAACACTGTTTTATGTTTTATTGCTGTATTAATATTCAAATAACTGTAACAATAAAGACCTAATGAATGAGTTTACTGTCAAAAAGCAAAATTCAAGCACAGATTCAAGATCTTTCACACAATCATACACCATCGCACTCAAATGTGTTGATTTAAACATCACACTTTAAAGCAATAACTGGGACTTTCAAAAATTGCCTTCTCAATGTCACGACATATGTTTGACACCAGTTTAAAAATATGTATATAGAAGTCTATTGCAACTTAAATAATCACTGTACACTTTTCTGCTTATTACGTTTTTTTATGTTGTTGAAAAGTGGTTAAACGCAAAACAGACACAAAGCTGAGTCTACACATCTATTGAATTCATTTTATTACATTAGCCACATTTTTTATACAGATGACCGGAAAACAGACAGCAAAAGAACCCAGTGTGTGTCTGCAGATGAACGGCAAGGAATGACAAGCCAAGTACAGTTTAAATTTGGAAACTTTCCCAAATGTACTGTTTTTCTCCTTGTGAATAATTGACATCTCAGAGCAAAATGAAAGCAGAGCATGTTTCAAACATTTTGATGTGCTGAAATAGACAAACATTATTCCAAATTTCCAATTCGAGTTATACTTTACTTGCTTCTTCATGTAGAAAACTGGTGGGCAGATTTTTTGAAGGGTTCGTGAAGACATTAGCAATCAGGACAAAGACATCCTCCTTAGCAAACAGATTTAATTTTGCAATATAAACAGGGCCGCAATTCAATTCTAGAGTAACATTTCTAGAACTTAAGTCCAAAAAGGCTTCAGACGCCAGAGTCTCAAAGAGTTTCCTCTTTTCCCATCGTCTCTCTCAGTCCCAGTTGTATTTGTCGTCCTCTGTCATGGGGAGGATTTCTGTGACCAGGCCCGTGCCGATGGTTTGGTTGCCATCTCTGAGAGTGAACCTTTGGCCTCTGTCAAGAGCCATGGGCTGCCTGAGGGCCAGGATCAAAGACACGTCCTCTCCCGGCATCACCATCTCCTACGAAAAGAGAGACGGAGAAAAAGATCGATTTAGAGCAAACCCTTCTAGTGCTGATATTCAATATTTGCTCAGCTAAAACGTACCTTCCCAGGGAGCAGCTCTACTATACAAACCATGTCCCAGGTGTGAGAGAACATGATCGGCATGAAGTTTGTGCAGAACGGTTTGTGCCTGCCACCCTCCTCTTTGCTCAAGATGTAGACCTGAAAAGAGTTTAAATGATTGATTGGTTTGTGAAGTAGGACAGAGGAGCTGAATTGACGTTTCTAAATTCACACACCTGAGCTTTGATCTTCTGGTGTGGCTGGATGGATCCAGGTTTGCACATCACCATGCCTCTCCTGACATCCTCCCTCTTCAGACCACGCACCAGAGCGCCCATATTATCGCCCGCCTCCGCCCGTTCTAGAGACTGGTGGAACATCTCGATACCTGAGAGAACGAGCAAGAATCAGAGGAAATCAGAGCAATCAGAGTTGAATTTCTGCCCAAAAAGTGATTCATCACTTAAAAGATTTGATTTTAGCCATTATGTTTGGTGCCCAATCAGAAATCCACATAATTTCTTGTTATAGTGAAAATGTCAGTGTATTTTAAAACACATATGGCACAGCAACAAAATACATTTGTAATGACATTTTTTTGTTGTTTTAATATTAATTATATACTATTATAGTATTTATTACTGTTTTGAATTAGGTTTTACTTTCATATTTTCAGTTTCATTTTAGTAATTTTGTTGTGCTTTTGTTATTTATTACATTTTTTTTTATTTCTATTTAGCTTTAAATCATTTGTATTCCAGTTTTAGTACTTAAACTTATTTTATTTCAGTTAGTTGCCAAGTCAAGATTTTTAAAATTTTCATCTAATATTATTATTTTATTATATTTTAAAACACACATCATAGAACTAAAGCAACTTATTAAAAATAATAATAATACAATTTATTGTTTTAGTATTATTTATATACTATTATAATATTAAGTAATATTTTAAGAGCTTTTATTTTTTATCTTTTTTTAGTTTTCATTTTAATTTTAGTTTAAGTTTTAGTAATTTTATTATGTGCTTGTCATTTTTATTAGTTTTTTAAATATTTCTATTCAGCTTTAAATTATTTTTATTTCAGTTTTAGAACATCAACTTAATCTTATTTTATTTCAGTTAGTTGGCAAGGAAACATTTCTAAACTTTTCACCAATATTTTTTATTTGATCATTATAGTTTATAAACGCATACAGTGCACAGCATAAATGAGTACACCCCCTCTAAAACTTAACAAATTCAGCAATTACTCTTTACTTAGAAGACATGTTAGGGTTATTTGGAGATGTAATGTTCCAACAAGCCTGCTTGATCAATTACCAAAGAAGAATGCCAAAATTAATCAGCAAAATAAGATTTTCTTATCAAAGTGATAAAATGTTGTGTTGCAAAAATGAGTACACCCTCCTGAAAGTTACTAAATAAAAAAAATACAAAATAAAAAAAGTGTATAGGTTTAAGGCTATTTTTGATTAATAGGTAAGTATATTGAACTAAAACTTTTAAAGACAAGTAATTTCCTGACAATTAAAAGTGTTATATAGCCCACTGAATCATACTCAGACTTAATGCTGGCAGCAGTGGAACCACTTGGGAAAGAACTGCCAGGTGACTTATTTCTTAGCATAAAAGAGGACAATGGTACAAGAGGAATACCAAATTATTGTTTTAAGTGTGAAAATATAGCAGAAGTAGCACCAGCATTCAAAAACAATGGACTTGTGATAAGGCTCCTGAAATAATCAGGTCTTCACTTTAAGTTTTCATTTAGTGATGAGTGAATTTTTGCTAGATGTGGGGGATTCTGTAGAGACGAGCTGAGCAACACTCCCCCTTGAAGATCAGGTCGTCCTCCAGGAGTTAAACAGGACAGATGTGAAAATTTGTCATGAACTTGTACACTCAGTGTCAAGAAGGGTCAGAGCAGTATACTTAAGTTCTGGAGGACATACTAAGTACTAGAATATTATACATTTTCTGAATTAAATCTAGGATGTACTCATTTCTGCAATCCCTCATTCAAACAAAATTGGCTAATTTACTTATCTTACAGAAAATATTGGCATATATTTTGTTGTTTTTATTAAGTATATGTTTCAATTTTGCCATCTTTCCATGAATTATATTAATTATATTAGTGATCATTAAGAATATTCATCTTTTATATTTATTCAGAGGGGGTGTACTCATTTATGCTGTGCACTGTATCACACAGCAACCGAAGTTACTAATTAAACACGTAATAATAATAATAATTATATTTGTTGTTTTAGTATTATTTGTACACTATTAGAGCAATATTTTAAATTAGCTTTTAATTTAACAATTTTAGTACTTCAACTTATTTTATTTCAGTTAGTTGCCAAAGCAACAATTTCAAGCTTTAATCAAATATTGATATTTTATTTCAATTAACGAAAACAGTTTTAACAGTTTTAGTTCAGCTCAAGAACATGTTCAGATTAATACAGGGGGCAAAAAACACTTTCTTTGTGCTTCCAGTTAGCTTGCCATAATAGAGGTTAATACATGCAATGTCATGCTTTCAGTTTTAAATATAAAATATTTATAAAAATATTATCTTCAATAACCATATTCAAATACCAAAGGGTGTTATTTTTTGCATCACGACACAGAAAGACATCAATTACGTTCAATGTAAGATCCACAACAAATATATTAAACATATTTTGCACACTGAAGTACTGCCTATTAAGATATCATGAGCAGGAAATATAGTTCTCACCAGTGATGACGGACTTAAAGCAGCGATTGTGTCCGAGAAATTCACATTCATCTCCTTTCTTGATCATTCCTCGCTCTAGTGTGCCAGTGACCACAGTACCACGACCTGCACACAGGATTCATACAGTTAAACACACAAACATAAAACATATTTATTCATTTTAGAGATGCTTTTACCCAAAGCAGAACATTATATCACAGATACTATATCAGCAGAAGCACAAGAAGAAAACACAGACCTGGAATAGAATAGACTCCCTCTATGGGCAGCAGGAAAAAGGAATATAATTATCTGCCACATCCAAAAGCTTCATAATGGATTTAACACCCAGCTCCGGCTGTCTGTTCTGAACACACACGATCACAACAGCATTGAAATTTGTGATTCACCAGTTCAAAACACATAATTCCAAGACAAACAGTCTTCAGTTTGAATATATTTTAAAATGTTATTTATGCAAAGCTGAATTTTCAGCATCATTACTCCAGTCTTCAGTGTCACATGATCCTTCAGAAATCATGCTAATATGCTGATTTGCTGCTCAGTTATTAGTAATTATTATTGGTGCTTTGACAATATTACTGTATTTATAG